TAACAGGGGGGTGTAGAGCTTCTTAGTACTTAATCTTCCTGACTTCTCTTTGTTGATTGTTTTTTAAATTGCAGAGTGCATGCATCTGTGGATATAGAGTTAGTGCAACAAATAACCAGGGAGTTTCCATTAAAAGCCCATCTTTTGGTTCAATATAAAATTGTATGTAAAGTAGATAGGGAGCCATGATTCCTGGTAAGAACATGAGTCCAGTTCAGCTTGATAAAAACAGTAAATCTTTGCTGTTGTTTGGAGATCTGATCTCTGACTACACATGTAATAAACTATTTCATTTCAGTTACAAAAGTATAATTATAATTAAAAACTAATACTTGACAATTCATTTTTGGAAAATAGCAAGTAGCTTTTGTAGTTTTCTCAAATGTCTTTTTATGAGTAAAATTAGATAATATGTTGAAATATTCTAGAAATTATAATTTCAGATTTAAATTTGTAATTGTATATCCCTTTGAATTTTTATATGATTTTCATATAAAAATTTGAATCACAAGATAATCATCCACATACTAATTTATTTTATTTTACTTATATCCTTGCATTATATTAAACTGCCAATATTACAGAAATCAGGTTTGTATTGTTATGGTTAAGTACTATTGTAATTTTATTAAAAGATCTTATAATTATAGTTTCCTTTATCTTAATCTCTCTGTATCTATAAAATTTAACCAAGAAAATATAGAAAAAAAATCCCACTTTGGATGTCAGTTGCAGGAACTTTTCAAGCTACTAAACCTTTTAAACATCATTTTCCTATCATTTAATAGATAAAATTTTGTGTACTTAAAAGTGTTAATTGCTTGCCCCAAAGTAGTAGTATTAAAAGTAATCTGAAAAGATAATCTAATTTCTCAAATCTTTGCTGGAGACTTGATGGAGAGAAGAGGGGAGAAGATTTTTACATATGCCAGGACACCCTACTTTTTTCCAGAACACATTGTTCTCAACCAGAATTATTACTCACCTCCCTACAACATCTTACCCCATGCAACAGTCTTGAATATTGCCACTCTTGGCCTTTTGTTGCATTTCAGAAAGTCAGAGCTAGTGAATAATGAAGTCCCAAATTAATTCAATCAGTCATCAGCAAATATTTATTGAGTGCCTATCATATATATATATATATATATATATATATATATATATATATATATACACCCAGTAGTGTTCTCTGTGCTGTATACCTCATAATTGAAAAGCCACATAAGGAACCCTGCCAATTAAGCAGAATGATTGATAGGTTCTCGTGCTCAACTAATACCAAAACAACCCATGGAAAGTTAAAACATTGATTTATGAATCTGTTACAGCTGAACTTTCTGAGAGACCCAGTTATTGCCTGATTGTTTTAATCAAATTATATTTAATAAAACACTAATTAATGTAATTCTAATTTTCCTGGTTCACATAACAGTATGTTCAGATACTAGCAATAAACAAATTTTTAAACAAATGAACTTTTAAAAATTGTGTATTTGGGATATTTGCAGAAACATCATTATATAAAGATTCATGATCCTCCCACCTTGGCCTCCAAATAGCTGGGATTACAAGCATTCCAACAGGACTATATTTCCATAGTTTCCTTTATATTAGAGTCCTTTGTGTACCTGTCTTCGCTCTTTCTCTCAAAGTATAATTCTTGCCCTCCAGGAAATTACCTTTTATTTCCTGTAGCACACAAAATAGCACTTCATATAGAAGATATGCTTGATAGACATTTGAATGGAATTCAAAATATTTATTTTGGAAAGTTATATACACTAATTTTAATAATGTTCAATTAGTCATAAAGTTTCTTATGTTCTTTTACAATTGCTTTAAGAGCCTGAGGGATTATTTTAAATTCTTTCAGTGGTGACAAATCATCAAGTGTTCAGGGAAAATTTGATTTTGGAAAATAGAATTCATTCTGAGCCATGGTTAGCGAATAATGTGAATGCTCAATCTGGGCTCTATAGTTTCAGTTAAAATAAAAGTAATGTGAAGAAATGAGATAATCTTTGCATGAGACATGAAGTGACAAATCCAGAAGTTCCCAAAATACTTTCAACAATGGCAACATAATTGTGATGAATTTCTTACATCCTAAATTTTCTACTTGGAAACGTGCAGCATTAATTTGGCCATGTAAATACTAAAATATTTGTTAAATAAGCCTTGTCTCCTTGTAGATTCATTTTATAGTTGTCCAAAACAGGATCTTGAAACTATGTTTAGAACTAAAATATCACTTAATCATGAAGTTATGGCCCTTCTCAGTTAAGTATTACATTTTATAGCTTTCAGTGAGTGAGAATCCTAATATCAATATTGCACCAAATAAAACTCCCCAAATTTAGGGAAACATTTAACTGTACTATGAATCAAAACAGGTTAAAAATTCAGCTACACTGATTATCCATTCCTGAGTTTTACTAGAAATGTAAGGAACTAAAAGACTATTAGAACAGGAAAGGTGAGTTGAATAAATAATTGAGTATCATGCAACTTTTCAGTAATCACTGGGGGCTGTGTCTTTTTTTTTTTTTCAATTCATTTGGTTTAACATATTTTCTCTAGAAAATCTATGTAGCAAGTTGTGAATTGTGGATGGGAATGTATGCAGTGATACTCCATAACAATTGGATATTATGTGATTATTTTAGCTGATTTACCTTTCTCTTTTTTTTGTTCTTTTTAGTTATACATTACACAAGAGTACATTTTGACATATTATACAAATTGAAGTATGTCTTATTCTATTTAGGATCCCAGTCTTGCAAATGTATATTCCTCTCATCCTCACCCCCTTTTTGTGGGTTACCTTCCGTATATCAGAGAAAACATTTGACTTTTATATTTTGGGGAGATTAGCTTACTTCATGTGGCATGATAGTCTCCAAATCTGTCCATTAGCAAAAAAAAATCATAAAGTCATTCATTTTTTATTACTGAGTAATATTCAAATGTGTATATATATACCACATTTTCTTTATCCATTCATCTGCTGAAGGACACCTAGGTTGGTTAAATAATTTAGCTATTTTGAATTGATCTGCTATAAACATTGTTGTGGCTGCATCATTGCAGTATGCTGATTTTAAATACCTAAGAGTGGTATAACCAGGTCAAATGCTGGTTCCATTTCTAGTTTTTTGAAGAATCTCCATATTGTTTTCCAGAGTGGTTGCACCAATTTTTAGTCCCAGCAGCAATTTGTGGGTGTATGATTTACCTTTCTCATTGGAGCTAACAATCAATTGATTTTGCAAACCCAATTATATATTGATGGAAAATTAAGAATGTATACATTTTAAAGATTTTTTCAGAAGAAATCTTTTTATCACCTTCAGTAAAATATTGAAAAAAATAACTCATTAATACTTTGTCCGTATCCCCTACCATTTAGTTGTCATTTTACTGCCATGGTATTTTATATGTTTTACATATCCTTAAAAGTATCTGGAGTTATGAATTTTTTTAGCTTATGCCTTGCATATTGGTATCTTTGTAGCTCAAAATAAAGTGGCAGGTATGGTGGCCAGGAACTTTGAAAATTTACCTGAAGTTAGAATAATTGAGGTTTTTTCTTAACTCTTACATGAACTATTTGATCATTATGCATTCTCAGGAGATATATTACTATATAAACCATCACTGTATACAACTTACCAAAACATTAAATGTTTGATTGAATATACATTACCAACACCACTTTCTATCAAGGCTGTTTTGACTTTTCAGTATCTCAGAAACAAGTGTATAGTAGGGGAAATAGGGCAAGCAACGAATATGGAGTATTATTTAATCCTTGTGTATCCCATGAAAAAAATGTGATTAAATCCTTGTTATCATTAATCAAAGTTCCAGGACCACCTTAGTCTTTGTGAACACTCTCCAGAATTCACTCTCATCTATTCCCTTGCATATCTGTACTGAGATAATTTATTTATGGTCATTTGTCTTAGTATACTTTACTTTAAAAAGAATAATCATACTATTAGATAGGATTTTATAGAAGCATTGTTTCAATTTCAGGTGTGATACATAGACTAGAGATTATTGAAATTATTAAATCCTTGGCTACTATAATAATTTTTTCTATTTTTAAAGGTAAAATGTTTCAACATTTATGGGATTATTAGACAGTATTTGATCAATAGCACTTGTATGCAGTGCAAGAAATATGTGCTTGAGGTTTGCAACATTGCAAAATTTCTCTACCAATGCTAAACACTGGAATGTACTTAAAAAAGAACATATTTCATGGAACACGATTTTTTTTCTAGAGAGGTTTCATGTACACATGATAATGCTTAAAGTTTCACATTTTCTGTTTTTTGCAGTCGTACATTGTTTACACAAAGTCATTTTTTTATTAACACTTAAATTTCACCATTTAATAACAAAGTGGGGAGGACATGGTGAATAGACTAATGAAATCACAGTTTGGAGAAAAAATGTTTCATCCATTCCTATTATAGGCCTAAGATTTAATAAGGCAAACGTAGTAATGATTATATTATTGCTGGTTTTGGAAAGTAAACACAGGTAATATGTTTAAAATGGTTTATAGTATACACCTTTCATTATGAAGTCATCTATTGCTTGATGATGATGCCTATTTAAAATGTTCTTGAAAAATTTTCACTTATTTCATAGGACATTGCTTTTCATTTTAATTATATCTTCAATAGATTTCTAAACACCCAACATGGCACCAGCAATTCTAGAGCCCCCCCCCATTCCCCCCCCACACACACACACACAGTGTCCTAGAAACCTTCTTGAAATTGCAGGAAAACTTTACACCACTTCTCAATTTTTTTCCACAAATTAATCCATTTAAATACTTAGGGAGCAAAAAAAATGCACATTTGCATATGCTCTGAATGCAAATGTATCTTGAAATTATGTATAATTTTTTTTCATTCTGATAAACATTATATGTAGTGTCAATGTATACTATACTGAGATTTGATTTGTTGTTTTCACAGATTTCAGGAAACCTTACTGTGCCTTGGATTACAGGGTGTTCTAGAAAAAGAGCAGTAAGTAATCTTTTATTTAAAGCAACAAATGTTTTTTATCTCCTGTTAATAGGAATACCGTTGAGAAAAATTTCATGATTTTTGTAAAGCTGTCAAAATTTAACCTTTATTTAACCTCAATGAACACATTTTGATTTCAGAATATTTATATATACTACAAAGAAAATCTTAAATATAGTAATCAACACTCTGAAATCAGTGGGTAGTTTTTTTGAATAATCAGTGGGTAGTTTTTTCCTGCTTTAAAATGTTCAAAGTAATTCATAAAATATTACATTTTGCTTACATCTATTTAGCCTGGTTAATTTTATAATTCAATTGAATTATTATTGATATAAAATATATTGATTGGTATTAAATTATTTACTATTTTAATGCAATTCAGTATTTACAAGTATCTTACAAATAAGGTTTTTATTTTTTCCTCTGGCTTTTTTGCTGAAACTTATGATTTTTTTAAGGTTAATATAAGTTTAGTAAAATGGTGTTTTACCAAAGAACCTAATTCAGATGATCTGCATAGGATCCATTAATATGCCCTGGGAAATAATGCAAGAGACGACCCATGAAGAATTATGAAAGGTGGAAAGAAGAAGATGACTGGTTAGGAACTCCAGGAATTGAAACCATAAGGTGTTTTGCGCTCCTTCACACATTTCATAGTAGATGGCTATCCAAACTAAGCAACTCATTACCCTTAAACAGGCAACAGAAAAAAAAAAAACGGATTGTCTCATTATTCCCCCACGTGGAACATGTGTCCACATGAGAGACTTGTAACATTGGCAAGGGAGATAAATTCAAAGTCCCCACGATATTAAACAGACAAGGAAAGTGCTTTCCTTCCCAAGGCTTGAACCTCTCCTCCCTCTCTTGGAAATATTAGGCAGCAATGAAAAGGAAGATATTGCAACAAAGAGCAGACAGGTCTGCAGAGCCTCTTTGTCCTACTAAGCTACATAATTCTTCCCTTCACCTAGAAAATTAGACTAGAATGAGGGGTCAAGCTAAAACAAACATACATTCCTAGAAGTGCTCTATTCATCCCTGAAGAATGGTGAATCCATTTTCCCACTTAAAGACAATGGTCTGTTGATTGGCACTAACAGGAGGAATCTCCTCACAAGTACTTGGGTTGGATAAGGTCTTCCTGTCCACTTAAGTGGCACTAGAAAGGATCAGTAAAAACCCCGGTGACATAGATAAATCAGTAAAAACTCCATATAAAAATAAAACCACAGAGGTTCTGAAAATTTTATCACTGGAATCATAATCCATAAAATTAGCCCATGACCTTTGTGCTAAACCTAACTGCTTGCTTAAGTAAAAAGATTAAATCAGACTGAAAGTCTCCTAATTACCGACCAATGCTAAGGAAACAGTTGAAAATCACCCATCATAAAAAGAAACAGGAAAATCACAGCTTGAATGATAAATATCAATCAACTGAAAAAACACTAAGATAAGTCATATTATGGAATTACCTGACAGATAGTTTAGAACATCAATTTTAAAAATGCTTCCTCAAAAAATTATAAATTATCTTGAAGCCAATGAAAAAAAAATAGAAAACCTCAGTAGAGCAGTAGAAGTTGTCAAAGTATTATAGAACTGAAAAATGCAACTAAAATTTGAAAACTTCCTAGATGGTTCAATATTAGAGTGGAAATGAAAGAGAACAGAATCAGTGAACTTGATAATAGATTACTAGAACTAAAATACAAAGAAGAACAGAATGTTTACAATCTGTTTTGACTGAAAAATAATGGACTGATTTTTAAAAAATATTTTTAGTTTTAGATGAACACAATACCTTTATTTTATTTTATTATTATTATTTTTAATTTCTTTATGTGGTGCTTGGAATCAAACCCAGTGCCTTCACATGCTAGGCAAGCACTTTACCACTGAGCCACAACCCCAGTCCTGGGCTGGATTTTATTGTATGTTAATGATATCTCAATGAAACTTTAAAAAACTACTCAATTTAGATATTGTAAAACCTTATAAAATTTAAATATAATGACAGTATGTGTGAAGAAAACTTAACTTTCAAAATGACATTTATAAAATGCACATTGGATTTTAAAAGCAATATGATAAATAGGAATATGTATAATATCTCAAAAATTTTTATAGTGTGGTAAGAACATTTAACACAATATACACTGTCTTAAAAATTAAACACAATACAATGTTGTTAATTATAGGAATATTGTCGTATAACACACTTTTGGAACAGGCTAATTTTTCAGTTTATTGATCTTTACTTAAATGAAGTATATATAAAGTTGTGTTTTGATTTTTATAAACAATCATAGTGAAATGATTACTATACCCAAGAAAATTAGCATATCCATCTTCATACATATCTACCAATTCTTGTTTTCTTTTTATCATTCTTTTTTGTGCCTAGTTCATTCTTTCTTTTTTATGATAAGTGCAACTCCAATCTAATCTTTTAGTAAATATCCAATATATAATACCCTTTTTTGTAATTGTTTATACTGATGGGATAATATGTGGTATTTCATTACATATACACAATATATAAGCATGTCCACAATGTGTAAATGTGTAAAATTCAGATCATAGTAATTGGCATATCTGTCACTTTAGACACATATCAGGTTTTTTTTTTTTTTTGTGTGTGTGTGTGTGTGTGTTGGGAATATTCAACATTTCTTATATTAGCAATTGCCAAATATTCAATTTATTTTTGTCAACCGTAGTTTATTCAGAGTTTATTTATTGTGTATGATGTGAGGTAGGAGTCCTGCTTCATTCTTTTGCTTGTGGTTATCTAATTGTTCCAGGATTCCCCAATGGTTGGACTTACATAATTGTCAAAACTCAATTGACTGCTGAGGTCTGATTTATTATTGGACTCTTAATTCTGTTTAATTGATCTATTTAACTTTGTGTCAGTACTGCACTGTGTTGAATACTTCACCTTTCCAGTAAATTTTTAAATAGAATTATGAGTTCTTCAATATTATTTTTCTCCTTTAATTTTATTTTGACAATTCATAGATGACTACAATACTGTATATATTTTGGGTCCTGCTCTTCAACTTCTGCAAAAATTATAGTTGAGATATTGAGGAAAATTTCATTGAATCTGTATATTGCTTTGGGAAAAGATTGACATCTTAATGATATCAAGTCTTCCAATCTATGAATATGGGATATCTTACTCAGGTCTTTATTTACTATTAACAGTGCATTTTTTTTAAAAAGAATTAAAAACTAAAGGATGAATGTTTTCTCTGATAAACAAATGCTGATAAATAATGGGGAGATAGGGAAAAAATGAAGGAACTTTGGTTTGTGCAGAGGGGAGTGAAGGAAAGGGAGGGCATGTGGGAATGGAAAGGACAGTGCAATGAAATGGACATTATTACCCTAAATACACGTATGATTACAATCCCCATGTGACTGCACCATATACAGCCAGAGGAAGGAAAAGTTGTGCTCTATTTGTGTATAATGTGTCAAAATGCATTTTTACTTCATGTATGACTAATTAGAACACATTAAAAAATATTTTTGTCTTGAACCTCTTTGGTTAAATTTATTCTTATATATTTATCCTTTTGATGCTATTATAAATAGAATCATTTTCTTAATTTCCTCTTTTGCTTGTTCATTGCTAGCATGTATAATAAATTTAGTGCATTGATCATCTATTTTTCAAATAGGCTAAATGTGTTCATTAAGTCTAAGAGGTTCTTTTGTGTATTCTTTGCAATTACCTCTACATAGGATCATGTCACTCACCAATAAATATTATTTTTTCCCAATTTGGATGCTTTTTTAGTTCTTTTTAAATTTTTACCTTTTTCTTCCTAATTATACTGGTTTTTACTTTTAGTGCAGTGTTGAGTAGAAGTGATGGAAACAGGGGACCATGGTCTTGTTCTTGATCTTGAAATATTTTTCAATTTTTCATTATTGAGTATACTATTAGCAGAGGATTTTTCATAAATTCCTTTAATGAAGTTTAAGTTCCTTCTGTTGCGAACTCTGGAGTAATTTTAGCAAAGTGTGTAGAATATTGTTGCATGCTTTTCGAGCACCAGTTGACATGGTCACCTAAGATTTTTCCCCCCTTAAATTCCATTAATGTGGTTTGTTATATGATTGAAGTTTTTTTGTGATGAACCACCCTGACATTTCTTGAATAAATCCCAGTTAATTATACGGTATAATCCTTTACTATGCTACTGAATTCCATTTTTATTTTTTGAGGAATTTTATGTCTATATTCATGGAGTTGTTTGTATAGTTTTCTTGTGATTTTTTTTTTATCTAGCTTGATGTCAGGATGCTTTTATCTAGCTTGGCATCAAAGAATGAGTTAGAAATGTGACTTTCTATTCAATGTTTTATAAGAGCTTGAGTATTGATATTAATTCTTTTTAAAGTAAGTGTTTGGTAGAATTCACCATTGAAGCCTTATGGTAGTCATGGGGGATTGGTTGTTTTCTTGTTTGTTTTGTTAAGAGGTGTTGATTATAGATTTGATTTCATCTTTACCTGTCATTGATTTCTTAATCCAATGTTGGTATGTTGTGTGTTTCTCAAAATTTATCCATTTCTTCAAGGCTCCTTAAATGACAGAATATAATTATTCACAGTAGTCCCTTATGATACTTGTATTCAATTCTGGAGTAAAAGTGCATGGTACCAACATTAGCTCAGTTCTGGTGAGGACCTCATAGCAGGTAGCAACACAATGGAAAAGACAAGTGCAAGAGAAAGAAATCACTGGGTGAGACAAGAAACCATAGATAAATGGCATAGATATTTTAATGCAAGCAAAATAGGCTGCAGTTTGGGTAATTAAATGACATGAGTTATCTTAACACTGTCAGTTTACAGCTATGAATATTTTAAACATATGGTCAAAGTAATTATGTTTTTGTCTCTTCCACCTCATATTTTTATGGTAGAGGCAGTCATAGCAGGATAATTTCCTTCCACATATATATTTTATT